ATTGTTAGCTATTGGGGGAGGGGGGGAACGTGCAGATCTGTCCTCGCAGAGGAGGGAGAGCTTGTACCTGAATAAAACTTGATCTTAAAGGTGCCACTGGACTGTTTTGGACTGGGGGGCCTCTGCAACTTACCTGGCTGCTTCTTGCTCTGACTAAGGGCTGCTGGGAGCAGGAGGTGGGGCTTGTTGCATGTGCCCGCCCCCTGGGCTCTTTACTGCCAGAGCTCTGCTCCTGTGCGCTCCTGCAGGAAATGTCCCGAGTGTCCCGCACCCGTTACCAACCCGTTTCGCACCGCCGAATAAGCGGAATTAAAAAATACTGGGGAAAGTGCAATATCAAATGGGTTCGTGACGGGCCGCAGACGGACTTTCCTGTGAGATGGCTCTGGCGCGCTCCCATTGCTTCAGTGATCCCTCGTTACAGTGCGCCGAAAACACGTGGCGGAGGGGGAAACATCTATCTCACATGAGAAATCCAGGGTCAGTCCAAGGGGCCTCTGTCCCAAGAGTCAGGATTTCAGAAAAGCTGAACAGAGAGGAACAAAAGCCACAGGCAGGAATATCACAGGCTATGAAGGTAGAGAGACGGGGAGATGAAGAGGCCCTGGAAGGAGACCAGAGTTAGGCCAGGGATTTGTGTAGGATACAGGAGCAGACAGGAAGGTAACACGGGGATGGTTGTTGCATTTATTACTTGGTGCTTGCGTCTCTCTTTGGGAGAAAAACAGGAAATAAACAAAACAGAGTAGTAGTAGTAGTAAACAGACTCCAGATTTTCACAGACGTGTTGATGGGGCACGCTGCTAGCCCTCATGGAGGCCTGGAGGAAAAAATGGAGGCCCGAACGACAGGGACTCTTGTGCCAGCCTTTGTGCCACTGTGAGGACTACTTCCATGCAGGACAGCTCATGTGCGATTCAGGGGGTGGAGGTTTTATGCACGGCAGAGCATGAGAGCACTGCATGTACATCTTTTAAGGGGGACTGAGGCCCACGCGCACAAGCACTGCTTGCACAAACCGGAAGGATGATACAAAATGGGACTGATATTCAAGGTTGCATGTGTATATTGCCCTGGTCTACCTTGCAGCGCTGTTTGTAAGGTCTACTGGCATAGTGATTGTGAGCTGTTTGGACGATTCAAGTGAGTTAACACAGATGAGCATAGTCGCTATGTATCAGGCATTACCTCTCGGAAGCTCAGTTTGCCATCAAAGTCTTCATCTACCTCCTTGATCATGTTTTTCAACCCCAGGTGAGTCTGCGGCGCTCCGAGCTTCTCCATCATACGCTTCAGTTCCATCAGGTCAATGAAACCGTCTTTCCCCGCGTCATACCTGGCAGATAAAAACAAAACGAAAGAATACAACATAAGGGAGGCTGCCTTCCTTCCAAAATGTCCAATCCCTTGCTTTGGAGGGAAAAAAAATACTGTCGCCCGTCCACAACCTAATAACTGTCAGTTTGTGATATTATTCCATTCTTCTTATTTATATAAACACAATCAAGAACCTTTTGCAGAATTAAACGTTAAATAGGTAAAGGTAAAGGTTCCCTTGCTCGAAAGCCAGTCGAATCCGACTCTAGGGTTGCGGTGCTCATCGCCCAGGATCCAGAAAAAAAACACTGCGTGTTGATTGAGATCAGCGTCCTATCTGAATTGTGATATGCTTAAGACTTGTTGTCTAACTTTTATGAAAATGAGAGCTTTGGCACCCCTATAATATCTCCTGAAGAAGATTCATTTTTTGAAATGTTGGTAAATAATACGGAGACGACGTTGTACCTTGGTTTATAAATTCTATTAAGTTGTGTATCCTATTGTAATGCTTCAGAGCACAATACATGTACAGCAATTCTTATAAGTCTTATGACTGTTGATTGCGGGTCAGACTATCACGACTGTTGGCTTTATATTTGTTTATCCCACTGTGGCCAGCCAGACATCCCCAGAAAACCTATAGCAGGGGCACACAGGCCTCACCCTGCTGTTGATCCTCAGCAACTGGTACACAGAGCTGTAGTGCTTCTGAACATGGAGGTTCCACTGCACCATCATGGCTAACAGTGACAGACAGAGAATATTTCAAAGCCATTTGTGGATACCACTACACTCTGAGATAACGCATATTTTGGATTCGTTCCTCATCTGTGGTTTTTCTTACTCCAAACTGGATCCTCCAAAAGGTTCCATAATCCATACCCATCTAATCGAGTGATTCTAGTGGATAGATCTCAAAAGCTACAAAGAGTAAAGTAAAGGTAAAGGTTCCCTTGCTCGAAAGCCAGTCGAATCCGACTCTAGGGTTGTGGTGCTCATCTCCATTTCAAAGCCGAAGAGCCAGCGCTGTCCGAAGACGTTTCCGTGGTCATGTGGCCGGCATGACTAAACACCAAGGCGCACGCAACGCTGTTACCTTCCCACCGAAGTGGTACCTATTTATCTACTTGCAGTTTCTTGCTTTCGAACTGCTAGGTTGGCAAGAGCTGGAACTAGAGACGGGAGCTCACTCCATCATGCGGCACCCGGGTCTCAAACTGCTGAACTACCGGCCTTCCACAGCCTGCAGCTCAGCGTCTTAACCACTTGAGCCACCGCAGCTCCTACAAAGAATCTACAAAGAGTAGATTCCTGTAAATAAGTCTGCATTCCCACCCATCTGGGAAAGATCGCAGGGTGACCTTTCTCTTTCTCTCTTTCAGCCTAACCTGCCTCATAGGGCTTTTCTGAAAATAAAAGGAGAGGAGAATGGTGTATTTTGCCCTGAGCTGCCTTGTGAAAGGGTGGGGACAACATTTCAGATGATGACTCTCGCTCTTGCTTAAACTTCCTTTATGCCATTAGCGATCCAAAGTCCACCTCTGAAGACAGATTAGGAAGTTTACCTCTTTCACATTGCGTGGGTGTGATTCTCTTTACGTTCCAGCCTCACAGAAGGCCTTATCACAAATGCCCGCCTCTGTCTCCAAGTTATAAATCAACAAAAAGGCCAAACCTATACCATCAGAAGTGTTTGTCGGAGACAGACAGGCAGGAGAAACCTCGCTGAAACCAAACAGGGTTAGTTGTTCCTTAGAAGCCAAGTCAAACGCGCAAATTTGAGTACCTAACTTTTAAGTGTCTTAAACCTTCAAAGCACACAGTTAGCCACTTTAGAATTCTGTACAGAGTCTGGCAAGCAGCATCCAACACACACACAGCACAGAAACTTTACAATCACAGTTTTGGATTTATTCAATTTTTAAAATAGCTTATAGTCCTCCTGGTTATGAGTGAGATATTAAGGGAGCAAATCTAAGCAGATCTCCTCAGAAGTAAACCTCCTTTTAGTCAGTGGAACTTGCTCCCAGGAACATGATCTTAGGACTGCAGTCTAACAGTGCCATCCTAAATGGAGATACGTTCTTCCAAACCCACTGATTTAAAGACTTCATTGCAAAGGGACTCCAGATTTATTTAATTATATAGCACACTTTTCAACCAAGGCTGGCCCCTGAAGTAGCTTACAACAATTAAAATCCAGGTCAAAGGTAAGGATACATGGATCTGACTTCCAGCAGATGACAGTATTCACAAATTACAGGGGCCACATGCGCAATCCATGTACAGTGGAGAAGAGTACGCTTGTTATACTCCGCTTTTCTCTACCTTAAGGAACATCAAAGTGGCTTACAATCACCTTCCTCTCCCTGAATCAGGCAGCTTGTGAGGTAGGTAGGGCTGAGAGATTTGTGAGAGAACTGTGACTGGCCCATGGTCACCCAGCAGGCTTCATGCAGAGAAGTGGGGAATCAAACCTGGTTCTCCAGATTAAAGTCTGCTGCTCTTAACCACTACACCACACTGCCTCTCTTGACTGTACTTAATATGCACATTAAATAATTCTTGTATAAAATCGACGCATGTCCACTGAATGTGTGATACAACCCCCATATTCATCTATGTACTAGTCCCCAGTTTCATTCAAACATTTAACATACATTGGCTCTCTGTTACCAACAGATATATACACATCCAGGCAGGAGGAGGAGGAGGAGGAGGAGGGGGAGGGGGAGGGGGGAGGAGTGGGTTTAGATTGGATTTATACCCTGCCCTTCACTACCCAAAGGTGTCTCAGAGCGGCTTACAAACTCCTTTCCCTTCCCCTCCCCACAACAGACACCCTTTGAGGTAGGTGGCGCTGAGAGAGCTCTTGAGAGAAACTGCTCTTTTTCAAAGACAGCTCTTATCAGAACTACGGCTTGCCCAAGGTCGTCCAGCCAGGTGCAAGTGGAAGAGTGGGGAATCAAACCCGGTTCTCCCAGATTAGAGTCCGCGCACTTAACCACTGCACCAAACTGGCTGTGTTCACTATGACATGTGTGAACAGGGCTAGGGCAGATCAAGATGGGTAGTCTGTATCGATAGAAAAAAGCAAGAGACCAGTAGCACCTTAAAGACTAACAAAATCTGCAGCAGGGTAGGAGCTTTTGTGAGTCGCCACTCACTTCTCCACTTAGCAGTGACTCACAAAGCCAGGATATCTCGGGTTCTATGTTCTTGCCTCCAGAGGGTGAGGACAGAGGGAAGAGAAGGCAGACAGGGCTAGAGATGTGAAGGCCCGGAAAAAACCCGGAAAAATTCGGGGGGAAAAAACATTTTTTTTCCGGTTTTTTTCCCTGAAGCTTTTTTGGTTTTTTCCGAAAAATTGAAAAAATTGAAAAAAGAAAAGAAATTGATTATGGAATGTTTTATTTTAACATGATAAATAAAATATTTTAAGACAAGGTGTTCAAATATTTTCCAAACCATTTCTAAAATATATAATGGTATCAGATTGATCTAATTTCTGTGCACTGAGGACAAGCAAGTCCTAGGTTACAAACTGAACTCTCCAATGCAAGAACAAGATGCATTTCTTCCTTTAGGAGGTGCGATTGTCAGAAGAAAATAAAAAGGTTTCAGTTTTGTTTTTGCATGTGGGTGGGTATTCTGTTTGTAATAATTGTTTGGGTACACTATATTTTTAATATGCTAGTTGTGATAATTTTATGCCAAGTAAAAATGTCCATAGTCATTTTTTATGTTCCTAAAGTAACAGAATGACTTTCAATCTAGAAAAGACAAAAGAAATGCTAATGTAGCATTTTTTTCAATTTTTCCGAAAATTTCCGTTTTTTTCCGAAAAAAAACTGGGGAAAAAACGGGTTTTTTTCCGAGCTTCAAAATTTCCGGAAATTTTACATCTCTAGACAGGGCTGATCCTAAAGATGGCAGCCCCTCCACTGGCAACAGTTTTGCCAATCTGCTCTGCTCCCAAGCTCTGAGAAAGGAAGGGAGGCCTATCTGAGGAGAATGACAAGCTGCAATTACCAGTTTTGGGTGGTTTGTGTGTATGTGAGAGATACTTTTTAAACTTCAGTGGGAAGGGTGTTAAACGTACTTTGCTTGTACTGCAGTTCCATCTACCTTTGTAATCCACGGTCTGTTTTGTCATATGTCATGCCTCGGGCCCTTTATTGTTTTTTGTCGCTTTCTAATTTTTTAGTCCTAACCCTATTGCAGGAGCTGCGGTGGCTCAAGTGGTTAAGACACTGAACTGCAGGCTGTGAAAGGTCAGTAGTTCAGCAGTTCGAGACCCAAGTGTGCCGCATGACAGAGTGAGCTCTCGTCTCTAGTTCCAGCTCCTGCCAACCTAGCAGTTCGAAAGCAAGAAATTGCAAGTAGATAAATAGGGACCACTTCGGTGGGAAGGGAACAGCGTTCCGTGCGCCTTGGTGTTTAGTCATGCCGGCCACATGACCACGGAAACGTCTCCAGACAGCACTGGCTCTTCGGCTTTGAAACGGAGATGAGCACCGCAACCCTAGAGTCGGATTCGACTGGCTTTCGAGCAAGGGAACCTTTACCTTTAACCCTATTGCATTGTTTACGGCGTGTCACACGGCCTGACAGAACTGTTTTCTGTATTGTGTAATCTCCCTTGCGTCTCAGTGAGAAACGTGAGCCATTAACAACCACAATGCAAATAAGCAGAATACATGGGAACAAGGCTGGATTAAGACAGCCCGAGGCCCTAAACTATGCCAGATTTAAGAGATCCCATCACACAACCCTCCACGGTAAATTTAATAATTTGTAGTAATTCACACAAACACAGCCTGATACTGAATCAGACCATTGGTCCATCAGAGTCAGTATTGTCCACTCAGACTGGCCGTGGCTCTCCAGGGTCTCAGGCGGAGGTCTTTCACATCACCTACTGCCAGACTCTGTAACTGGAGGTGCCAGGGATTGAACCTGGGATCCTTCTGCATGTCAAGCAGATGCTCTACCACAGAGCCACAGTCCCTCTTG